ACCCCGGGGGCCGGGGGGACGCCCGCCCGCCCGCCCCGGGGCGCTACCCGGCTCTCCGCGACGCGGACGGGGACCCCGGGCTCCGGGTCCGGCCGTGGGACGGCGGCGCCGCTGCAGTCGGTGGGTGGCGGGGTTTCGATCTCCGCGTCCTCGGAGCGGGGCGATGTGGAAGTGTCTCCCCGCAGAGCGGGTCCTCGGCACTCTGTCCCTGGAGGGGCTGGGGTGCGTGCCGCTCGTTATCCTGGGTGTTAAAGGGAGTCGGGGTGCGAGGACGATGCGCAGGTCTCATGACTCGATTTGAGGGAAAATAACCGGCGCCCCAAACCCAGAGGAAAGCGCCAGGCGTGGACGTGTTTCGGCGGACCGGAACGCCGGCCGGAGGCACTCCCCTCGGCCCTGGATCCAGACGGCGGGAGTTGAAGCGGGGTTCCTCCTGGGCTCTGAGGGTCCGAGTTACGTTGTAAACCACACAGGTCTGAGACAGTAAGGATAGCCACGTCGGCTCTCCACCGAGGGCCATGCGAAGGGAGCTCGGAGGGAAACGGAGAGCGTGTCGGTCTCCACGATGAGCCAGGCGTTACCTCGTTTCATTCTGACAGCGACTCTGGGAGGTTGGAGGTGTCGTTCTGCTTGGGCAGAGGTGGAACACGGGCCTCAGAGGTTGAGTCACTTATTAAGGCCTTGACTAGTCGCGAGGTGCTGCTGAGATCTCCAGCCTGCCCATCCCAGACTCTAATTCTAGGATCTAATTTAGGGCAGTTAGGGCTCCTGAGACATCGGTGAAAAATCAAACGCAAGCAGCATTCATCCTTGAATATATATCGTTTCAGTGGATTTCTTTTCAATCGGGGTTTATTAACAGGAAATCTTACATTCATGATAAGACCAAACATTATTATATGTCTATTGCACTTCTTTCCTAGTCTAGTTCCTATACTATGTGCCAAGAGTACCAAAACAAATACAATTTATAGTCTCTGTCCTTCAGTTTAATTGGGAGTGTGATTGTAGAGAAGAATTTTGTCATCACTTAAATTGAATCTTAACTAATGTGTGAATTCATTGAATTAAAAATGCTTTCAGGCACAGTTTTTTGGATCTCATATACAAGAAAAGTTATTAGATAACTTGTCCTATGGGTACCATTTAACACTGTCATAAAATTTAGATTAAGTCATACTGCCGATTAATATTTTGTTTTATTATTGCACTGCCGCACTGCCTTCAGTACATTTAAAAATGTTAGAAAAGAAAGTATTTGCAATTTATCTTTTGTTGTGTTAAAAGGCTTATTTTTGTAGTGCTTTCATTAATTGAGAAGGCAGTGACATAGGTGGGCAGGAATTTCTTTTAAGTTATGTACCAAATATGTTCTTAACCTCTCCTTCCAAAAATTTAAAGTATACCTACTATCAAATTCTATTTAAGCTTTGTGATTCAGAGTTTTAATGAAAATTTAGCCTGGAATAACACAGTATAGAAATGTTTAAGATTACTTTAGGCACAGATATAAATAGGTAGATGAAAAGGATAGTAGGTGATTTAGGAAATGTTTTCTTACTGCTTCAATTTTCTCAATGAAGTAAGAATCAAGGTCACAATCTGAGGATGATGTTACGATAATGCTTTTGGGGCTGAGAGAATGAATGCACTTGTGAAATAGGTGATTAACAGAAAATTAAGCAATTACTTTGAGGTGTGAGAAGTGCAGTATAGGAAATATAAGGTGTTATATGTGGGTGCACAAAATAAGGATTCCTGATTTTGTAAACAAGAAATTTTGCCATCCATTTCCAGTGCCTGGCTTTGCAGCGTCATCTAGAGCAGATGCCAGCCCCTTTTGCCCCAATTCACTTTGCTAAGTTATGCCTCAGCGATATTGCAGGCACACTGGTTCTTTATACAAACCCTTTGGGAGTTTAGCTTTTTGCATTCTTTTTGCTGCTTCAAAATTCCACCCCACTCTTTTTCAGACTGTTTTTTCTAATCGCACTTATCGCATTATATTATATTATGTTTTATCCACCAAGTTAGTGACAATGTCTACCTTTTTTTCCCTGCCTCATAATGTTTGATGTAAATGTTAAATGAATATGTCACATTTCTAACTTTGTCCTCTTTCTTTAATCTATAGTGAGAGTTAGCAAGCTTTCTTTATAAAGAGCCAGATAGTAAATATTTTAGGTTTTGCACATCATATGGTCTCTGTCTCAGTAACTTAACTCTGCTGTTCTAGCACAAAAGCAGACGTAGACGATTATAAGTGAATGAGCATGGTTGTATTCCAGTAACACTTTATTTATAGGCATTGAAATTTGAATTTCATAGTATTTTACATGTCACAAGATACTATTTTTTAAATTTTTTTTTCCCAACCGTTCAGGAATGTAGAAAGAAACACTGTTAGTTCATAAACTGTACAAAACAAGCTGTGGGCTGGATTTAGCCCCCACCTTTATCATAGTTTCCATACTTTTGATACATACATAGTTTACATACTTTTCATTTGTAAGGACTCTCAGAAGCCTTGATAAAGGAATTTGCAGTGAGATGATACTGGTTTTAATATTACCATCGACAGTAGAGAAACAAAGATAAACAAGACAGTTTTTTAAATTGATTTATTTTTTTATAAAGGATCTTATGGTCAAGTTTAAGGTGTATAAATAACTAATGATGACATGGTATGGAAGCAGGAAACAGTTATATTTGTAACTCATATATAAGAATTATGACAAAAACATGATAATCAGTTCTGCTTGGGTGGACCAGAAATGCCCTCTAACAGTCATCTCTTGGAGGTAGGGAACATATTTTCAGCTAAGAGCCTTTCTGGGAATCTTTTCAAGGATACTAAGGTGACCAAACGGTCACTTTAATTAATTTCAATTATTCCTCCAAAAGTAAATATAGATTTTTTTTGGGGGGGAGGGTTTTTTTTATTATAGGGCGCGTACACTCGCCAGGCAGACAGAGAGAGACAGAGAGACAGAAAGCCAGAAATCACCCCTCAGGGGGGATGGCCACGCCACAATCCCTTCTCCTCCGTTCTTCTCTCGGGATCTTGGGTACGCATGCACACGCGTCCGGCGTGAGTTTAAGCCACCGGGTCTGGGACTCGAACCACGGTCGACTACGTGGGAGTCCAGCGACATAGCCATTACGCTAACTGCTGGTCCCATAGATAGAGATTTTTAAAATCAGGTCTGTGCATATAAAAGTAAATTATAAATTTTCAAGGTTATTTACCTGTATAAAATGGGATTATTTATTCCATCAATATTTAGTGCTTCCTCAATGCTGTTCACTGAGTTGTTTTATCAACCAAAAATATTTTAAGGAGATAATGATAGCTTCAGATAAAATGACGATAATGATAATTACAGTAATATCTCAGGGTTTAAAAATACCTTATAATTTTCAGATTTTGTACTTTACCTTAAACTTGCATTCTGAATTTTTCCCTAGCAATTATTTCTAAAGATTATGTATGTATTTTACTCATCTAAGTAATGTCAAATATATTCCATAGCATTTGAGATATAGTAGTCAATATTTCATTAATAAGTTAATGAATTTTTAATTATGTAGCTCCTCATGTTTATTTTAAGTCTATTTTTAATACATTAGAAAAGGAAGATGAGCTTTAGTGGGCTTTCCATTTTCTTGCAATTTATTAGTTTTAGCATAAATTATTTTATCCAGGAAAATTATAAACTTGATTAAACCTTTAGTGATGTTAAGTGTTTAAAAATTACCTAAGTACTATTTAAAGTCTTACAACAAACTTAACATGTACCCAGGTATGTAGCAAAACATTGAAATAACTTTTGAAAAAATTTTGTAATTTTCTAACTTTATTTCTCTGTTTCTTCCATTATTCTGTAGTAATTAAAAACTGGCTTTGTTAAAGAGTTCTTAAAGTATTACGTTGGCAAGACTTTGAGTTGGAACTATATCAACTCTACCACTAGTGAGTGAACTCCTGGCTATTGTCTGCAGGATTTTATTCCCACTTAAAATCAATATTAAACTTGGGACAGACCAAGCATCCTCTTATAGTACTTTCTTTTTTCTTTTTTATAGACCACAGATTAGTTTATTTTTAACACCCATCATGTCATGAATTCATAGGGAATAGGTTCTAGTAGCTCAGGCTCCTTTCCGTTGGTTCTCACAAAGTGTGCTTTTCCGGGTGGAGCAGGCTGGCGCTTTGGTTGAACTCAGGTAACTTTCTCTTTGGCTTCTTTCTTTTTCTGGTCATTTTCCTTCACACGTTTTAGGAAGCTATCTCTGCTCTTAGAATGTTTAATATGCTCAATATGCACATTAATTCTCTTGGCAAGAATCTTGCCCTTAACTTGTTTGTTCACAACAATGCCAATAGCATGCTGGGCAACATTGTAGACTCTTCCAATGGTGCCATGGTAACGTTTGTGGGGCATTCCTTTTTGAACAGTACCCATTCCCTTGATGTCTACACTATCACCTTTCTTGTAGATTCCCATATATGTCGCCAAAGGAACAACTCCATGTTTTCTAAAAGGCCTAGAGAACATATATCGGATGCCTCTCCTCCTTCCCTTTGGGTTCCTCATTTTGGTTAATTACTGGAAGACGGTGGTTCCGGGCAAAAGGCCTCTTATAGTACTTTCTTTTTATTCTTTTGAGCACTACCAAATAAGGCTATAAAATTTGGGAATTATTGTATTGGAAGAGGACTTTTAGAGCTCTTTGCTAAATAGGGGATTTCTCTTTTCGTTTCTTTTTTTAGATTTTTGCCATAGAGCAAATACACTCACCAAAGAGAGAGCCAGAGAGACAATGAGATGGAAAGTGAGAAATTGTCACCCAGAGGGTGATGGTTGTGACGCAGTCCTTTCTCCTCCACTCTCCTGGGATTTGGGGCAGGCACACACATTTTTAAGCTGCTGGATCTGAACCTCGAACCATGGTTAGCCATGTGGGAGCCCAACACCTTAACTACCACGCCACTGGCGGGCCCTAGCTAGGGGGATTTTTGTGGTCCAAGAAAAGGCACCTGCAAAGTTAAACCCTTCACTATGTCTCTTTTTGACCAAACTTCATTTATAAATTTGTGGCTTTGTTTTCAGATGTACTCTTCTGTCAAGAGTACTACTTTCAGGTTATCTCTGGTATGTGGACCTTGACCTTTTAGTACACCTGATTCTCCTACCCACAGAAGTTGGTCATATCTCAGTGACATGTCCTTCTATCTTTGGGTAGATTCTTCAATATGGAGTAGCACTGCCTTTCCCCATTCTTTCTCCATCCTAATTCCTCCTTCTCCCTGTTAGGGTAGTCAATGTTCTTTGGTATTTTCAAGCCCTGCAGAACAGTGGAGGGTAGGGTAAGGAGTGTATGCTTCTGTGATTACCCTACCAGTGCAAGTTGTAGGTGTCCTTTAAAAAAAATTTTTTTTTCCCCTCTGTTTTCTTGAAAGACATATAAATTCCCAGAGACAATGTAATACCTGAGATGAAGTCAGGTATTTTCTCAAGCATCCTATTACTAGCTAAGACTCTTCACAATAGAGTTAGTACTTTACTTTTTTTTCTTAAATAATTATTCTTATTTAATTTCCTTTCCTTTCTTTTGTTTTTTTCTTTTCTTTTCTTTCTTATTTAACCAGAGAGGGAGAGGGAGAGAGAGAGAGAAAGTAAGCCGCCAGGTCCAGGACTCAAACTGCAGTCGACCATGTGGGAATCCAGCGCCCTTAACCACCATGCCACTTGCTGGCCCCTACTTTACATTATTTTGTAGAGCAGTCCTTGCTTGATTTATTCTCCATTGCCCTTTTCAATTTGGGCCTACTTAGGCACTGTAGGTTTGGGTGAGGAGATTGGGAGTATGGGCAGTTGAAGAGGGCAGATTTGTTCATTGTTTTACGAAGGTATGACTACAGCTTTGAATTTAATTATTTTGATAACAGGTTAGATGAACATTACACTTTAAGGGTTTATGAAGAACCCTTGTTAAAATGTTTTATTCTTTTCAAATAGCCAAATTGAATGTTTTATAGTATAAAGAAAACCATCACAGAATTTTCTTCAATAGTTTTTTTTTGTTTGTTATAATCCCTCAAATAGGTAGAAGTTTAAGATTATTGAAATTTTATGTCTTCACATGATTAAACTAGAGCTTTTGAATATAAGGAACATCAGATTGTTGAGATCAGTCTTATTTATCTGTGTAATTTTATAAAAGATTTTATACTTTCATTATTTTCTTCTTCTTTTTGTCATTTTATTAATCATTCTAGAGGATTTCCTTTACTCAGTTTTCAATCTAGCTCACTAATTTGTTTTTAGATCCTATTCATCCCATTCTTTGGGGAGTTTATTCCTGTCAATTTGTTTCTAAGTTATCTAATTGCCTTTTTCTTTTTCTCTTCTTTATTTTACTTTATTTTTTTGCCATGGGGTATGTGTATTGGCGGAGAGAGACAGAAAGAAGCAATGAGAGGGAAAGTGAGAAATCATCCCTCAGGAGGGATGGCCACACTGCAATCCCTTCTCCTCCTGGGATTTTGGGCATACACACACACACACACACACACACACACCCCGGCATGATTTTTAAGCCTTCAGGTCTGGGACTTGAACCTTGGTCAGCCGTGTGGGAGTTCAGTGCCTTAACTACCACAACATGTGCTGGCCTCTAATTGCTTTTTTCTTAATTACTTTGTTCTTGTTTTGTTCTTGTTTCAAATAAGATACTTTCCATTATCCCTTTCAGAATATTATACTAGTTTTATATCCAGTAGTGATGAATGTGTGTACTTAATTCCAACGTACTAAGCAATATTTTTTGCTTTACATGTATTAATTATGTTAGTTGTTCTGAAACCCCAAAGAGGTGGATGCTATTATTACTGTATTTTACAGGTGACAGAATTTAGGCATAGAATAGTTCAATAACTTGGCCCAAACACTCAAATCTAGTAAGTGATTGAGGCAGGATTCCTGTTTAATTAACTGGGCTCCAGAGGTTGCATTCTTTTTTTTTTTTTTTTTTTTTTTTGACATAGGGCACGTGCACATCCAGAGAGAGAGAAAGAGAGAAAAAAGAAAAAAGCCCATCCCACTGGGGTGTAGTTACACCACAATCCCTTCTCCATTTCTCCATCCTTTGGGAATTTGGGGCATGTCCCATGTGTTTCTCAAGCCACCTGTCAAGAGACTAAAACTGCTCGTGGGATCTGATTCTCTTGACCACTAGGTCATAGACCTGCTACAGATATCACTTTCTTAACCATCAGACTATGCTACTTAAGGGATTATTTTTGTGTTTGTTGATTTTGGTGCCTCCTTTATATTGCTTAGGATATTTTTGGTTGTAAGAAGTAGAATCCTATTCTGGCTAGCTGAAGTCAAAGTAAAAGTGTATTGGAAAGATAATAGGATATTTTACATATTCCAGGGAAGAAAAATCAAGTTTTGGGCACAGTATCACATAGGAGGAAGCTTAGTATCAAGAATGTCTGAACTTTCTTTTTTTTTTTAAAGAATTATTTTATTTTAACTTTATTTATTATTAATATCATTATTATTTTTCAGTTTGATCAGAGAGAGACAGAGGAAGTGAGAAAGCAAGCCACCAGGTCCGAGACTTGAACCGTGATCGGCCATGTGGGAGTCCAGCGCCTTTAACCACCACGCCACTTGCCGGCCCCAAGAATGTCTGAACTTTCTTAAGTTTCCTTAAATTTTGCTTTAAATCTCTTTCCCAGTTTCTGAGTTCTCTTAGTTAAAAATTCAGATTGCCAGACCAGCCAGGTGGCATGGTGGTTAAGGTGGCTAGATCCCACATGACCAACTGTTTGATTCAAGTTCCAACCTGGAGGATTGAAAATCATGCTGGACACGTGTGCATACGTACCCAAAATCCCTAGAGGAGAATGGAAGAGGAGGGATTGCAGCATGACCATCCCTTCTGGAGGATGATTTCTCACTTTCACCTTCTCTGTCTTTCTCTCTGTCTCTCTAATGAGAGTATACCCCCATAGCAAATTAAGAAAAAAATAATTGAGACTTCCAGGAGAAAAAGTAACTGATGTAGTTTAAGAGTGGTAGTGGTAATGGTTTGTGTGTGTGTTGGGGTGATGTTTGGGGCTAAAGATTTAATTCTGTTTCAGAAAACTCTGATAAGGGGTAGAGTGGGTGGGCAGGCAAATTTACTTACTTCAAACAAGGCCATTAGCAACCTAACCTAAGTGAAGCAGTTCCATAAGAAAGAAGAACATTGTGACTCCATGGCTACTGTCCGAGAAGTCTGTTATCTAAAAAAGAAGAATCATGGGTCCTGCAGGTGGCATAGTCGTTAAGGTGCTGGACTCACACATAACTGACTGTAGTACAAGTTCTGGACCCAGTGGCTTAAACACCATGCCAGGAGCATGTATGTCCATGCCTAAAATCCCAGGAGAAGGGATTAGGGCATGTCTCACTTCCCTCTTACTGTCTGGTGGGCACACTGCCCTGTGGCAGTAAAACAAACAAATAAATAAATAAATAATCATGCATTTAGCATTCAATTAGAATGAATAATTTAGTAGTGCCTGCCGAATCAATGTTTTGTTTTGGTAGATAACTTGAGAATCTTCATGTAGAGTGGTTTAGTGTATCTATGTTTAGTTTGTAACAAATTATCCTTGAATGAGTGTCAGTTTTATTTCTTTCCTTATCTTTTTTTTTTTTGCCCTAGACGTAATTATCAATTCTTTACTGAATGTGATGTAATACTCATGAGTCTGTTGAAATAATTTATTTTAATGGCTCCTTTATTTTTTATTTCTTTTATCTCGCTCTTTTTACTCATTTACTCATTTAATTTACTCATTTAATTAGTGTATCTTATTGCCTTTTTAAAGAGTTGTCTATAATCCCATTATTAATTTAAAAAAACTTTCTACTCTTTTATGCACCTAAAGAAGATGCTTATTTAAGTCAAACATTAATTTACATTTGTGACAAATTGCCTCTAACTGTTGCCTTTTTTTTTTTTTGATTTAGGTGGAGACAGTTAGCCAGCCCAGAACAGATTGTTCTTGTTTTGGAGGGGAATCATATCAGTGGCCCCAATTAGGTAAGTATATTGAGAACAAGACAGTACCAATTGTTCTGGAATTTTTTTGTTTTTGTTTTTGTTTCAGGTTTTTGCCATGGCATATGTGCCAGAAAAACAAGAGACAGACAGAGAGAGGGAAAGTGAGAAATCACTCCCCAGAGGGGATGGCCATGATGCAATCCCTTTTCCACTGTCCTCTCAGGAGAGCATATATACACATATGTGCCTGGCTTGATCTTCAAACCGCTGGATTTGGGGCCCAAACCATGGTCGACCATGTGGGAATCCATTGCCTTGATTACCATGCCACCTGCCGGTCCCCTGTTCTGGAATGTTTAACAGGACCTTTTTGTATCTTCTCAAAGCTTCCCATTTAATACCTCTTGGTGTGCAGAGGTCCTAGGATATTAGGCTATGCAAATTTGAACATGGACCATAGTGATTACAGTCAAGACTCTGGCCACTTCTTTTTTGAGTTCATCTATAGTGAAACCTCATTAATGAATTGAGATAGGTCCAACAGAGAGGTTCAGGAACAGAAAAGGTTCCAAGAGCCTAAATATATCCTGTAGGGGAGACACTGGACCTGTGATAGGCCCAACTATTATTATTATTTATTTATTTGTTTATTTTTTGAGATTTTTGCTATAGGGCATGTGCTCTCACCCAAGAGATAGAGATTGAGAGATAGAAACTGAGAAATCACCCTCTGGGGGATGGTCATGCCACAGTCCCCTCTCCTTCATTGTCTCCTCAAGATGTTGGGCACATACACACATGAGCCCTTCATGAGTTTCAGGTCTCTGGGTCTAAAATTTGAACAGTGGTTTGGATTTCCATGTGGAAATCCATTTGTCGGCCCTGTAGGAGACCATTATGCTATATGCTGGTCCCCAATTATTTTTATCCCAGTTACTTGAGAGGCTGAACGAAGCAAGATCACAAAATTGAAACCAACCTGGGCAGCAATAACCTGTGTCTTAAAATAAGTTTTTGAGGGGGACCAGCAGTTGGCATAATGGCTATGTTGCTGGATTCCCATGTAGTCGACTGCGGTTAGCATCCTGGACCCAGAGGCTTAAACTCATGCCGGGCGTGTGTGCGTGCGTGCCTAAGATCCCGAGAAGAGAATGGAGGAGAAGGGATTGCGGTGT